TTCGTTGACATGTTTGGTATTCTCGCAGTTAATAGTCAGACAGGAGAAAAACATCCAACATGAAACCACTGTAATGAAACTTCTGGCCATCAGGAAGGTGGCGAAGAACTATTTGAGGGAGTAGCCATTTGTAGTGGACATTCCGAAGAGCACCGAATCAGTCCCTCAATGTTTTAGTGTCCATGTGTGTGTTTGTGAGTGAGTGAGTGAGTGAGTGAGTGAGTGAGTGAGTGAGTGAGTGAGTGAGTGAGTGAGTGAGAATCATTAATAATTGATAACTGATAATTTAGTCATTGTAAACATACTGATTATTATTGTTTTTATTACCGTTTTATCCTAAAATGTTGATTGTTAAATGTACAGTTTATTCCAATCTTTTATCTTTTTTTTTTACTAATATTTATGAATATGATATATATTGAATAACCATCTACGGGATTTGAGACCACAAACAGGTGCTCCTAGTTACTGCTTACCCGACCGGTCTCGTTTTGTTCTCATCTCTCTGCTCTGGATCATAAAAAGGTGTAGAGACACCAGTGGAAGTCAAGAGAGGACCAGGACTGAACAATTTATTTTACTTTTGCTTTCAGTTCTGGGGAAGTCTCTGACACCTGTTTGTTTTATTTTTCATCATTAAAGTCATTTAAAAGTCTGTCAGTTCTCAGCCTCCTTCTGAATGGCAAGAAGTTCCATCACAGTGGTGTCATTTTGGGTGTTTTTCTCCAGTCTGACTATTAACTGCGAGACTACCAAGCATGTCAACAAAGGCAGAGTTCCAGTCAGAGCACACCTATACTAATTGCGTAGTTGTTTATTTTGGTAAGCCGTTTCCCTCAACAAACTAAAAAAAAAAATCTTCGTTTTTGGACGGATTTTGTTAGAAATTACCTCATTTCAGTTCTTCTTTCAATTTTGTTTAAAGTATACATTTTAAAAACTGCTGGGTGTTAAATAATCGATTTGTGTTAGGACAACATGAAAGAATTAAGTTAACTTATTAGTTTTTACAAATTTAAGTGGATTGGACAAAAAAAAAAAAACCTATTAAGTTGTCCATCTCAAAAACTGAGTAAAAACTTAATTTGTGTTTACCGGTGCCTTTACTTAATGCACTATTTGAGGGAGTAGCCATTTGTAGTACACATTCCGAAGAGCACAGAATCAATCCCACAATGTTTTTGTGTCCATGTGTGTGTGTGTTTGTGAGAGAGGTTCTTGCTTATGTTGACAGATGCATACATACAATAAATAGAAGTTTAGTGATTGATACAACTAACAGTTAAAGTCAAAATTATTAGCCCCCTTCGAATTTCTTTCTTCTTTTTTAAAATATTTTCCAAATGATGTTTAACAAAGCAAGGAAATTTTCAGAGCATGTCTGATAATATTTTTTCTTCTGGAAAAAGTCTTATTTGTTTTATTTTGGCTGGAATAAGAGCAGTTTTTTTTATTTTTTAAACACTATTTTAGGGACAAAATTATTAGCCCCTTTAAGCAATATTTTTTTCTCGATAATCTACAGAACAAATCATCATTAAACATTAACCTGCATAGTTACCCTAATTAACATAGTTAAGCCTTTAAATGTCACTTTAGGCTGTATAGAAGTGACTTGAAAAATATCTAGTCAAATATTAATTACTGTTATCATGGCAAAGATAAAATAAATCAGTTAAAACTATTATGTTTAGAAATGTTTTGAAAAAAACCTCTCTGTTAAACAGAAATTGGGGAAAAACTAATCAAACAGTCTAATAATTCAGGGGGGCTAATAATTCTTACTGTATGTGGCCAAATACAAACAGGCTTTGAAGGCAGGTTGTGATCACATCACGACTCGAGATGAGCACATTCTATTTGCAAATACTACAACGTTTTTAAAATGTAAAACTATGAATTTGGTGTTCTGTGGCACAAATTTGAGCAGTGGTCTGACTGCCTAAAATATGAAAGAAATTTATGGCAATGAAAAAAAATGCAAGCTGCACAAAATGATGTGACATTTGCTTGCTTTTCCATTAAAATCAGCCATTGCTGAATTGTGAAATCCTTTAGGGTTCTTGTCTAACTGGTGGAAAAGCAAAGCAGTTCTTGAAAGAAATCGCCAGATGAATGAGCTCATGTCTATCTTCATATTTCTGCTAAAGCGTGCATTCTGTATTTTTGTTTACTCACCACATTATCGTGTAACAATGTTGCCACCGCATCCAATTTAAGAATCATGTATTATTTATTCATCATGTCGTGAATTATTTTACCTATTATTTATTGCTGTACATTACATTAAAATAACTAATAAACCTATCTACAGAAAGATACAGTTCAGTTTAATATTCATATTATATACTTTGGTTGCATTTATTGAGTTAAAAATATGTAACTGGTTCTGTAAAGTCTTATTATCGATAAATATCCATCAATATTCCACTGAATCAAATTTAATCGAAATTGTATTGCAGAATTTTTTGAAATGTTGCCAAATGCTGTAAAAAAAAAGAGTATCGATATAACTTTCCGCAACTGGACAAAATGAAGCCTATTTTACTTTTAGCACCTCAAATCCTGGTCTGGAAGTGCAATAATAAAAAAAGGTCAGGGGCATGACAGAAGCATGACCAGAGCGTAGACTAAAAATACACTAAGGTGACCAGCGCTCAGTTATCCTCAGCTCAACCCGCTCCAGCATCTCGCTGACATTAGGCTTTCTTGTGCAGGCTGCATCAGCAAGAGTCTCGAGCAGAGAGGAGCCGTAATGAGAGCCTCAAACCTGGAGAACCACACACCTCTGGCTCATTTACAGATAGTATATTGGTGTAAAGTAGTGATGCGCTATACATACTTTAGACATTACATCTTGTTTATATATTTGAATGTTATCAGTAACTGCTAATAATATGTTTATAGATAATTTCCACAATTTAGAAACATTTATGCTAAATAGAAGATAAGTATTTGACATTGTAACTGTCAATTTTGACAAAAAGAAGGATGTTTTTACATATTTTTTATACAATTTTAATATTCTATGGTTGTGCGATTTAGGGAAAATATCTAATTGTGGTTTTCATTCATTAATTTTCTTGTCGGCTTAGTCCCTTTATTATTCGGGGGTCGCCACAGCGGAATGAACCGCCAACTTATCCAGCACATTTTTACAATCTCTGGGAAACTAATTGTGTTTTTGTTTTTGTTTACACAAATTGCAATAGTGATTTGATTTGTGATTTGATTTTGTAGTCAAGATCAGCTCAATAATCTGTAAGCCGTGGAAACAACTCTGTGACCGCTTTTGAAAATAACATGTTTTTGTTCAGTGTCTGTGACCAAAATATTCCCATATTACCAATGCTGTTATTCTGTAATTCATCTATTAATGCAGTATATGCCATCATCCCACTTGTCTGCGCTTTCCTGTTTGTTTTCTTTTTTTATTGTGGACATTTTGCATAGTTCTGTTGCGCAATTCTTTTTTGTATTATTATTTTTTATTTCCCCCACCTTTTATTGTGATAGGATAGTGAGGGACTGATGGGAAAGCATTGGGAGCAGAGAGAGGGGAAGGATGGGCATAGGACCTCCAGCAGGTAATCGAACTCGAGTTGCCCTGAGCACTATGGTGCTATACCTGAATGTCGGCGCACTTAACCTTTAGGCTAGTGGCTCCGACTGGTTGCGCAATTCTGATTACATGATACATATACATTTTATATTGCAGCCTTATACGAATAACTAATCGGAACGTTTCAAATTGCCATATTCATTTTCAATTAATCACACAGTGCTGATATATTCCCAAATTAAATCCCCTCATACTAAAAACGTATCATTTGCGCCAAATTTTTTGAATTTTTATTTTCATAATGTAGCAAGTTAGAAGGTCCAAAATTAATTAAAAAGTATTAGCTTTGAGAGACTTCCTTTCACATTTAAAGAGAACCATAATGAAATATATTCGAATAAATCAGAATCAATGAATAAAATATTGAATCAAACAATACTAAACGTTCGGTAATTGATTATAAATTAAAAACAGATCAATAACATCTGACTGCTAGCTTATAAAATTGATTAGTTCTAACAAACAAATTTTATGACCCCTAGATGAAAGTCTATCTAAAAAAAATACAGCTTTAATTGACTAAATTAATTCTTAATTAAGAATTAAAAAGAAAAAATTACATTAACCAAGCAATTGTAAAAGAAGTCAATAAATAACCAAAACAGCAACAAAAAGTCCTAAAACAATTTGTACTAAAACATTTGCCAAAAAACAAGCCCTTCTTTGTCAGTGTCTGTGACAAGGCATGCATTACCTTCAATGTCGGCAAAGGGCAGTGCCCTAAAGCAAAAGCATGGGCCAAACATCGTTCCACGCGGCCATTAAGATCCACTAGGCTCTCAAATCTCTCAGAATAAGGCTGACACTGCTTTTCAACGAGCCCTCAGACTGGTGTTCACAAATTCGAAATTGTCACCTCAAATCAAATATGAAAAGTTATTTGGCTGGAGTAACAATAAAGATACAAGGAGGATGTTGAACGCATTTTAAGGTCACATAACAAGTGTAAGCAAGTGGAATGAGACGTACTGTTAGTGACCGCTGAGAGCACTCATGTTTTATTCATGCTGGTGCCAAGGTCCAAAGCCTCCCATGATCATGGAAACATTTGATGTGCTCATTAGATTTCAAAAAGGTCACTTCATTTTCCCCCTCGCTCTAACTGCACATGTATAATTTCCCTTCAGAAGGGAGCTGTAACCTTTTTAGAGGCAGCCGTCGAGTGCCAGCCCTGCTGCGTGTGCAGTCTGGGGCCGCTGCGCTGGGGATCAGTTTGCCCCGAAGCCTTAGAGGACACGGACAAGTTAAACTCTGACCAGCCTCTATAGACCATGCTGAAAACATTACACAGTCGGTCGACGTACTTTGATATGGAGTCAGGACCACATGCTGAAAGCAAAGAAATACGAAAATCTAGAAAAGAAGCAGCCGTCGCAAATCAGTGTTCATTTTCACATTTATTACACTGGCAGCAACAGTAAAACAAAAGTGCCTCACAAATATCGAACAAAATTTCTGAACTAAATATATATATATATATATATATATATTGTATTTTTGTTCTCCTTTCCTAATCAAGAAATAAACTGGACAGAGACACCATAGGTTCATCAGCAAAATCAATACAGGAATATACTGCTAGTTCATCAGTATTATATCCATTGGACATTGAAAAACAAATAAATAAATAAATAAATAGTTCCTTTACTTTGAAGTTACTAAATTAAAAAATAAACATTTTTATTTAATAGTGAGTCTATTCTTATCTTTTTTATCTAATGCACATCATCTAGCCTAGTTGTACTGTGATTTTTTTACAGCTGCAAAGTTCAGCATGTACAGGGCTTTAACAGTTCACAGAAATTAACAAACTGCAACAAAAAAAGATTTTCTATCAAAAAGCAGGAGCTTAATAAATCACCAATACCAGCCTCTAGTAATGGGTTTAACACAGCCCCAAACTACTGCAATCTTTAAAAGAAGCAGCCATATATTGTATTTTCTGTAGTATTACACAAAAATGGCTTTCATGGTGATGATTAAGTTAAAAAAAAGTCATTGCAGGAAGCAAAATGACCAGAAGTATAATGCTTCAGAGAGTCACATATGCAGTAAATCAGTAAATCTTTGAAAAATAATTGGAAATATATATAAAAAAAGGGAACTCAGAATAATGGAAAAAAATTGTGTACTTTTTGCTTACAATGTTCAAGAAAATAGTAACTAAGAAAGTTACTAACATATTGAATGAAAATTTCAATTGTAGACTTCAGACAAAGAAACATATTTGGATAATCATCCATTGAAATGAGTGTGAAAAAAGCATAATACAAATGACAAGTTAAAGCTCATCTTGCAAAAATAAAAAAATAAATAAAACATGCTGTATTTGCATGTTTCTCAAAGGGCAACTGCAGGCAAATAGGTCTAATTACAAACAGCTAAGGCTGTACACCACTGAGGATCTAAACTAGTCCACAACTATTACAGGCATTTGTTGATATTGTGCGCATGTGGAATTTCAAGATTTCCTACAAAAAGATTAGATCTAGGTTTTGAAGGTTTTGAAAAAATAAAGACAGACCAAGCTGTTTGTCGTTTTGCTACATCGCTTTTTGACGTGATTTGCCTTTGTGTGTGTTATAGATTCAAGACACACTGTTCCATAAAACCACTAGAAGATAACCTGTGCTAAACTGAAGAAGTTAACAAGGTCTTCAAGCTCTTTTCCTTTTGTAGAGCAACTGTTTTTATAGATACAGTTGCGACACAAAACAAATTCAACAAACATCAAAACAACCAATCCGGTGACATGGTTAATGTGCCTAAAAATAGCCAACTGTGCTCTATATTTGGAAAGAACCATTACGAGTAAGAGCTTTGAACCCACCCCCTGTCTTTGTCTTGTACATTTTTTTTGCTCAAGAACTCTCCAAAAGCTGCATATCTTTAGATTGTCAGACAGACTGTTACCATTCAGTGGTATTTACAGGACCACGGCAGGTGTAATCTTAATATGTACAGGGAATGTAGATCACATGACTACTAGACAACTTCTTGACCCTTGATTGTGGGTGGTAATCTCCGTTGCGGTTCACATTACAATTACTTGAAAATCTGAGCCAAATCCCTTCCAGCAACATTTAGCAGTTTAAGACTCATCCAAGCAAGCCTCTGTAGATCTTCAGATGGAGCAGGAGTTGGCTCTCTTTCTCGGCTTTGGCTCTCCAAAGTCCTTGTCGTCATGAGTGCAGGGGCTGAAAGAGCAGGAGGAGCAGAGCGTCTGTGAAAGTCTTCGCATCCCCAGCCGGAATACGCTGTTGGAGAGGCTATAAATGACGCAGTTGCAGAAGCTGTTGCTAATTGCTAACCAGGTGGTCACAAAAGAGAGGGCAGGGCTGTCCAGCACATGGGAGCTCTCCAGAAGGAAATAGAAAATGTAGGGGAGCCACAGCATATAGAAGACACTGGTGATGCGAAAGAGCACCATTGCGTATCGTCGGTCTGGCCCATGGCCTGCAGGGTTGCCCCCTTCGGTAGTTTCCATCTCCTGGCTGGGAAAGCGCGCCCTCCGCTCGCTGATCTCTCGATTGTGCTGCTGGCAGATGCGAAAGATGTGGAAGTAGGTAAAACATACCACCAGAGCAGCAGGAGCATACAGCAGGCACACAACAAAGCCAGTGAACAGTGCAGACGTTGGCCAAGAGTTGGCACACCACTCAAAGATATCCCCATGATACCCTGGCTTACCCCAGCCAAAGAAAGAGGGAAGAAACACAACGCATGAGTAGATCCATATGAGAATGATGCAGCAGCGAAGGCGACACGGTGTTACCAGTTGGTTGTAGGAAAGTGGCTTTGTAATAGCAAGGTATCGGTCCACGCTAATGCAGGCCAAACATGCCATTGAAACGCTCTTGAGAACGGAGATGATGTAGCTGAACACCTGACAGGTGATCGGTTCTTGGACACCAGCTGGGTAATGGAGCAGTGAAAGAGTGGGAACCAGGCAACTTAGTCCCACCAACAGATCTGCGTAGGCCATAGTCTGGATGAAGTAGCTGGTGGTGTAGTGGTGTAACAACGGGGCACAGTGAAACACAAAGATCACTGTCAAATTCCCAGCAATGATGAGCACTGTCAGCAACACGATGACCGCAGTCTCTAAGACGCAAGCCTCCAAGACTTTGTTCTGTCCCCATCCTAGAGGGCAAGAGTGGTTTAGGGACACGCTAAAGTGACCACTGAGGCTCCCGTTTGCAGTGGGGACTGGTTCGATCGACCTTGACTGGTTCATTGTCTCGGACCTTGTCCACTTGGATAAGGTTCCGTTGTCCAAAATACAGTGCAGATGGCCTGCAACCTGATCTATGTGTCTGTGCCTTCTTAGTAATCTCTTCCAGCAGAACTCAATCTTCTGTCTTCTCCCCTTTGCCACGGTCTTTCACATGGCTGGATCTCAATGAAATGAGCATTGGCAAAAATCAATACAGTCCGTAAGGAGAAGAAAAAAAGGTGCCCACTGTTCCTCTGAAATCAGTCATGCTTAGGAGCACCTCTGTAAATGTCAAACAGAGATATTTCCTCCACATATAAAACTAAGGCTTCTGGAAGCAGCAGTAATCACAAAGGGGTTCCATATCAGTGCTGAATGCGGGTTGTCAATATTGTCCACAGCATCTGCAGTGAAGTCGACCAATTCCTTAAGGTGTCCTCTCAGAAGTGAAATGCACAGAACTGGAGGAGTTGCGGTATGAAGAAAGAAATATGAAATAGTTTTCTTTAAACAGTGAGAACAATATAAGATGAACTAATCATAATAAAAGTTGCTAAATGATTTTAAAATTTAAATTAATCCATACTTGATTCATACATGCTCCTGGGTCGCATTAAAATTTAATTTCAAGCAGTCCAAAATTCTTTAAAAAATTAATTGATAATTTGTCAACAAGAAAATTACATGCTTGGTTCCAAGAATAAAGACCTCTTGGCCTCGGTCTTAACCCCTTTTGGGCTTGTATAATAAGAATCAAAACACAAACACTCTAGACAAACACAGGACAGCATATGAGAGTTGCCAGAGCTATTGCTGCACAAAGCAGTACTCATAGCCTGCAGGAGTCTGAGTGAGGCAAAACGGAACTAATCAAAATTTCAAGAACGTGTTCTGGGGGGCCACAGCGACGGCTTTGGTCTTTTCTGCTCCCAATCCATTCACATTTAATGAACTTTCACCGTGCATATTGGATAAAAGCAGGTCACGCAAAAAAGGAGACCTGTATTTCCCAAAAGAGTATATAGCTGGTTACATGACGGTGCCTTCTCTGTAAAGATGAAGATAGCATCCCGATCTGGCCATCCCGTCTGCAATCCACATGTTCTCAGTTTCAGTCCACTGTTTAGTCCGAAGCTTTGCACATCTCACGGCATGCCAACCTCTGCATCTGATTAGATGTACATTCCCAGCAAGGTAGAACTGAAGGTCTCCTCATCAACTTCCTTGTGACACATTTCATAAAACTCAATCTGTTTACAATCTGTTCACATAATTTGTAGATCTCAGTTCCACTCCCGTCCTTGTCAGCTCTCAAACCTGTGAACCAAAACAGGTTGACAACAGTTCCCACCAAGTGCAAAGTCCAAAATGCAATTTAAAATTCGTAATTCAAAATTGAGGAAAAAAAACGTGGAAACCATATGACTCTATTCCAAATAGTACGGCAAAGCAGAAATGAACCTAGAAACAGAGATCAGCCCTCCGCTGCTGGTGCTCAGAGATGCTGTGAACAGCTCACAGTTTCCTCTCCCCCTTCGCAGTCTCGCTCTCTCTTCCACTGTGGCTCTCGATCACATTCGCTCCCTCCTTCCTTTCCCCTCTCTCTCTTGCTCTCACTCTCTCTCCAATTCTCCTCCCTCCCCTTTTGGCGCCACCTGAGGTCCTCTCTCACACAACTCCTTCGAGCACACAGTTCTCTCTCTCTCTCTCCCTTTCTTTCCAATGTCCTCCCTCTTTTCTCATTATCCTCCTCATCCTGCAAACCCTGAAGATGTTTCCCCATTCAAACGTAATCAAAGACTTCCATCTCTCCTAGTTGTCTCCTACAGCTCCCCATTTTATTATCCCTCATTCTCGGTTTCCTTCCTGCTTTAAGTCACTCACACAGACCAGTGCCCAAGCGCAGCAATGCCTGCCCCTTGGTTACAGTTGTCAAGAATTTCAGTTTGCCAGGTCCCTCCCTCACAGCAGCTGACATGGTGCAACAAACAGGAACAAATTAAGAGACTCCAGGAGGTGGGATCGCATTCCCTTGAAAGGATATCATCGGCCAAGTCTCCTCTAACACGCAAATTACAAATGCTGATCTTTACCAGTTTGTTAGACATGATTGAAACTAGAAGAGCTCATAAAATAGAGTGATTATGCCAATGACAGCCCAAGTTTCCCACACTGCTGCACTGCTGAATGTTCAAGCCCCATGGCAAAATAATTTCAGATTTTAGCTGAGCTGTGAGCTTCCAGTTCTGAGCTAATATGATGACAAAAATGGTGCCTGCAAAAAGAGAGACAATAAATAAGCAACACTTACGCAACTTTGTCCTTACTGACTGTATTCAAGGAGGTCTTTAATTATCAGAGAAAGCTATCTGTTTGCATCCTTATTCATCTAAACGGCAGTTTCTAGGCTGACACAAGATCCCCAGACACTGATATTGCTTGCAGGATGGCTGATAAGGGGGAAGAATACTTTATGCTGAGCTCATTCTTGGTGATTTGTTTGGGGAGGTGTGTGTGTGTGGGGGGGGAGGGGGGGGGGGCATTAAATAACTTGCATTAAATTAAATTTGAACATTAAATAACTTGAACTTCCCAACACAACATTATTATGACTATATCAAAGTTTTCCACACATATATTAAATATTAGCTACTAGTTTTTGTTGCAATAAATAAGCATTTGGTTAATGAACGGAGTTCATGTGACTGAAATCTAATTTCATTACTAACTGGTTTCAATAACAGTAATGGTTAATCTTTTTAAGTCAAAAATATAAAACAACTCTGAAGATAGCACTGGTACAGGTAGGTAAAATTGATAAATACGGTTGGTCATCTATAACTTGTGCAACTAGTGAACAACAGCGATCGCCAGAGGCCCGTATAAATGATTTATCGCAAAGGAAAGAAAAAGCTGGAGAAAACAATGACCATAATCCTCTTCATCTGTCAGTGCCTGAGCTTTTGATCCAAGTGACTCTGACTGTGGGGACGGGCAGGGCACTCTGGCTCTCATCACCGCACTGGCAGTACAAGTACAGGTCAGGATGACAGCTGGACTTGATTTGGCATCATTTACAGCAACAGTCAGGGCTTTGTTAAATCTACATTCAAAGAAAACATGGAAACAGTTTACGTCATAATTTAATTTTAATAAACTCCCCTGGTCTTAATAAGGGCACGTTATTCTAGGTTTTTAAATAATTGTTCTTTAAAACACAATAAATGTCTTTATTTTGCTGACCTACCCAAGACAGGATGGTTGGAGAAAAACTATTTGGTAACAACAATGTTGTTTGGTTACAATGGTTTACTTGAAGTGGGTGTTTATAAAATGCAATGAATATAAATGAAATTTTATGCATGCTTATGACAACCATCAAGTGCCATTTGCTCAGTTATGTTAATTTAAATGCAAAGATGACATTGTTTGAGATGTCTTTGTTATAACAATTGAAAAAAAAAACATGACAAAAAATATGGTGTATAAGTCATGCATGCATAAAATATCATTTATATTCACAAGGTGTCATGTTATTATTAAAAAGGTGTCATGACAGTCTTATGAACACCCTTTCAACTTAAGTGTTACCTCCTATTCTGACCAATAATAGAAAAAAAGATAAAAATCAATGCGATGCTCATTTATATCAGGGTTATGATAAATATATAATCCTCGTATCACATTGTTAAAATAGTATGCGTTACTATTAGACCCCAATATGTTAAAACAATACAAATATAGACTCACCAGCCTTTTTATTATGTACACCTTACTAGAACCAAGTCTGACCCCCTTTTACTGAACTGCCTTAATCCTTTGCGGCATAGATTCAACAAGGTACTAAAAATAATCCTAAGATTTTGGTCCATATTGACATGATAGAATCACACAGTTGCTGCAGATTTGTTGGCTGCACATGCATGATGGGAATCTCCACCACATCCCAAAGGTGCTCTATTGGATTGAAATCTGGTGACTGTGGAGGTCATTTAAGTACAGTGAATTCACGGTCATGTTCAAGAAACTAGTCTGAGATGATTCGTACTTTATGACATGGTGCGTTATCCTTCTGAAAGTAGCCATCAGACGATGGGTACACTGAGGTCATAAAGGGAAGGATAGGGTCAGTAACAATACTCGGGTAGGCTGTGGCATTGACACAATGCTCAATTGGTACTAATGGACCCAAAGTGTGCCAAGAAAATATCCCCAACAACTTTACACCACCAGCAACAGCGTGACCCGTTTATACAAGGCAGGATGGATCCATGTTTTCATGTTGTTGACGCCAAATTCTGACCCTACCAACCAAATGTGACAGCATTAATTGAGACTTATCAGACCGAGAAACATTTTTCCAATATTCTATTGTCCAATTTTGGTGAGCCTGTGCAAATTGTAGCCTTAGTTTTCTGTTCCAAGCTGATGGGAGTGGCACCTGGTGTGGTCTTTTACTGCCGTAGCCCATCAGCCTCAAGGTTGGACATTTTGTGCGTTCAAAGAAGCTTTTCTGCATACCTTGGTTGTAACGAGTGGTTATTTGAGTTACTGTTGCATTTCTAATAGCTTAAACCAGTCTGGCCATTCTCCTCTGATCTCTGGCATTAAAAAGGCATTTGCCTCTTTTTCTGACTATTCTCTGTAAATCCTAGAGATGGTTGTGCATGAAAATCCTAGTATATCAGCAATTTCTGAATTATTCAGAGCAGCTTGCCTGGCACCAACAACCATGCCATAATCCTAAATCACCTCTCTTCCACATTCTGATGCTCGGTTTGAAATGCAGCAAATCATCTTGACCATGTCTACATGCCTATATGCATTGAGTTGCAGCCATGTGATTGGCTGATTCGAAATTTGAATTAACAAGCAGTTGGACAGGTGTGCCTAATAAAGTGGCCGTTGAGTGCATACTTGTTTATGTTTAAAAATAAGCAAAAACAACTTGCATTCAGTTCCACGGCTAGTATGAAGTGGGGATTCAAACCACTGCACACGCGACAAGAGTAGATGAGTGCATGAAGTGTGTCTCTCTGTAATACAAACCGTCATTTCTGTGTCAGCAGAGAGCCAACCCCAGCGATACAGTCATAGCACATGCTATCAGGGGAGCTGACCCCGACATCGCTATAGTACAGATAGGGGTCAAAATGCATTCCAACATTACAGAGCCATAAAGCAAGGCATGTGTAAGACAAATCTATAAGGCTCCCCCGAGTGGCGTGTCATTTTGAAAACTAAATGGTGTTGTTTGTGTGTTATTGATTCTCAGGGAGGAAGAGCAGGCATATGATGAGGCCGCTAATAGAAGCGTTATAGTCCAGAGTGAATGGCAGCTCAGTGACTGCATTAAAATACATGTCGGGATGTGCTGAGAACAGGGGTCTATTGTAAGGGAGGGGCAGCTGGTCGGAGGAGACTGGGATAGCATTGTGGGCAAGACTCAAACAGCTCACACGCTGGGAAAATGGCAGCTTACCAGGACGTACTGGTCCAAAGACCAATCATTGAATACTTCGGCCAATTTCAGAGATAATAGCTATAATGAAAGGGGAAGCAACACATTGAATTAAACATTTTTTAGTAGAAAGACACATTTACTATAGTCTTGCACTGTTCAATCAGATAAGCTCTGAAAGGGTTTCGTTAATAATTAAAAATTCTAATAGGAATCTAACAAAAACAAGTTTTGCCCAAATTTGCCTAAAAGTTCAGCACACTCATGATTAAGACCAACAATGAGTGTCTTTTGAAATTGGTTTCTTTGTGAGAAAGTGTCACAATTCTTTTAAAATTGAAATCTTTTCACCAAAATGAAAAATGTTAAAAACTTTGTTGTTACGTGTTTGTGCCCTGTTTGTGCTTTTTTCTCTCTCGCTCTGTTCTCCCGTATCCGTTTCATATTCTCAGGTTTCATTCATTGGTTAATCCATCCGTCAATCATTTCCTTCCCGCTGACGTCATATTCAATAGGCCAAGAGCGACCGGCATAAAATCGCGCGCCACACCTCTCACCAACCTCTCTTTTCCCTCGTGTTTCTGTTGTACATCTGCAGTGTTAGTGCATTGCATTAAGAAAGAAAACCCTGTCTAACTGTGTATTTTATTGTTGCTCATTTCTGTGCCTTTACGTTATTTGACCGACATTCATATAATGTCCTATTTTTCATTTATGTCGTTTACAAGGCGGACAGGTAAGCAGGTCATGTGACATACATTTTGCAACACGTAGGAGTACTCTTGTGTGTGGTACATTAGGTTAGGGGCGAACACCACCCCTTGTACTTTTTAGATGTCCAAAACACTTTTGCTGTTTTAAGGATGGAAAAATATGCTCTGTGCCGCTGCACATGCTCTAAAAGGGTTGAGCTTACTCTCTTGATAAATTATGGGGATGTTTTGAGAATAAATCAGTCTCATCTCCCATTCCCTTTAAGAGTCAGTTGAGTCACGACATGACTCATTTGCTATTTACATGGCGGACTTTGTAAGTGTATAAAATTAACGCTTCACTAGCAAGAAAACAGTTAAACAGACCATCTGCAGCGCAAGGATAAAGAATGAGTCTCCTCTAATCGGCCTTTACTTTCACTTTCTGTCTTTCGTGGAAAAGGAAACGGTGTTGGACACACTCCACTGAACACATCGATTAGCCTACATAACTAATTTAGTTTTTTAAGTGCAAAGATTTATTTTAAAACCATTTCAAATTCAGTTCTAATTTCCAGCAAACAAATAAATGAGCAATAAAAACGAAGTGTGGTAAAAAAAAAAAAAGTTATCCAAACACATGTCCTACGCCATATATTGTCCAAAACCTGGCAGGTGGTTCAATACCTTTTTAAAAACCTTTATTAGTTTGATCAGCTTTGTTTGATTAGGGCTGGAGCAAAATTGTGCAGAGCTTCAGCCCTCCAGGAATTGAGTTTGAGACCTGTGCACTAGAATAACATCAGGGGTTTGTAACAGTTGTTGAATGAGATTTCTAGTGAGAGCTTTTATTAGGCTATGAGAGCCTTGACTGGTGTTATGAGTGGAAGGGATGATTCTTATAGCTTGCGTCCACTAAGTGCTACAGTTCGGTACAGTGGTGTATGCATTTATTTCCGTTTCAATAGTCAAAAGTAACAAAATATAAATCGTAGCATACCGATTTTTTTGACTCTTGTCACAAATATAGCATCCTTCATCACAAGAAACATGACACAAAATGACAGTATGCAGCATTGAACGGTGGTCGACCTAAGCTTAAGCTAATTTTGTAGTCTTTTTGTGACAAACAGCTGCATGCCAAGAAGCAAGAATAGGATCTGGGATGTCCTGCTGTTGATTAAGGGGCCTTAAATGCATAGAAAGGGTAAGGTTCACGGTTTACTCTTTCTATTTGCAAGTGCTTGCCTACATGTAAAATGATGAACGTGAATGTGCAGAAGATGTAATGTGTGTACGTCCTTTTACGGCTTTCTTATTT